AGTTTTTTACCTCAAAATGATAATTCATAAAATATACAGCATGCTTTAGAAGAAAAATAAACTATTAAAATTTACTAAAGTATGACCAAAAAATCATAAACCTATAAACTCTAGCACAAGTTGTTTGGAAAGGAAATCCCCAAAAAGCTACCTAAAAATAATCTAGAAAGAATTTTTCAACATATCAAAGTAGGAGTGGTATGATATAACTCCTAGATTTCATCAAATGTCAGGTAATATGTTAATCTGAATTTATTTCTTCAACAGAAATCCTACCCTTAAAAGACCTTCATAAAATTGATGATTGCTAGGTTCTAGGAATAAAAAAAAAAAAATTAACAATCCTAAAGAATGCATTTGCATGCCAAACAGCTAATTTAGAAATAGATTGATTTGATGTTCCAGATTCAGAAAAATTAGAAAACATAAATATTGAAAATGACCCTAAGTAATTCCAAATCTGCTAAAATAGTAATTCGGCTTCCATTTGTACCGTTTTGAAACTTGGCTGAATTTGATAAAGGCTGTCAGTTTTAAGGTTTCAGTGGAGAACAAAATGAGAAAGGGAAAGCAGAGGAAGATCAGGGCAGTTGCTAGAAGACAGGAATTAGGTAAGCAAGGAGGGACCATTTGAAGGCCAGGTGAGCTGGTTAGAGCCCAGTGGACCAGACTGGTTATAGGTATGTAGCCTCCGAAGCACATATGTAGGATTTTGATAAAGCACAGGAAAGACAGGTTGTAGGTATACAGGCTATACATCTAAGCCAAGAAATTGGAAAGAAGAAGGAATTCAGTGGTTGAATTCTGATGGGATGGGATAGGATAGGGTCTGACCCTGCCATAAGAAACATGCAGGTAATGTAGGTGAGGTGGGAGTGGGCAGAGATGAGGAGAAATAGAAAGTGGAGATGAAGAATCCAGTGGAAATAACCACAGAAATCAAAGCCTGGGTTTGTAGACACTGGAGACTCAGACGAACAGAAGTGAATTAGGAACAGATCCCAGCCAGGTCTGATTGCGTGCCAGGCAAAGTAAATCAGACAGTAACAGGCTGAATGCGGCACAGGAGAACACCTACAGCAAAAGTTGCTTTGATGCCGATCTGAGCAACTGAGGTAGGGGCTCCTTTTGTGGGACTCCAGCCTAGACTAGGAAAGAGGCCAGGTATGGACATCCTGGCCAAGAATGCTCTTCACCGTAAGTTGGCCTGTTCATATTTATTTTGTGGCAATCTCACTAAGGATTTGGCATAACCTGTCCTTCCCTTTCATTTCCTTAATAACCTCAGCAGGGCGGGTAATCTCTAATGAGCATCTGGGGAACAATGACAGCTACTGTTTAAGCTACTGTAGCTGCAATACACTTGCCACATGGGACAGTGGCAGGTGTACATTTGTGGCTACTATTTCTTTCCTTTAAAAAAGAACAAATGGCTCTGTGGTGAGTTAGGTAAGGTTGGAGAAGTACTGAAATTAGAGAACACAGAGTTCTCAACATAGAGGATATTTAGTCTACAATAAGGAGATATGTCTATTTATAACAGCCCCGCCTTACTATGGAAAAGACTAACGGTGCCCTAAGCCAGTTTGGTTCAGTGGCTAGAGCGTCGGCCTGCGGGTCATAGGGTCCGGGGTTTGATACTGGTCAAGGGCACGTACCTTGGGTTGCAGGCTCCTCCCCAGTCAGGGCCCTGGTCAGGGTGTGTGCAGGAGGCAACCAATGGATGTGTTTCTCTCACATTGATGTTTCTCTTGGTCTTTCCTTCTCTCTTACACTCTCCCTAAAAATCAATGGAAAAATATCCTCCGATGAGGATTTAAAAAAAAAAGAAGAAAGAAAAGACTAAAGGCAACGTAAGTGTGCAGTAGACTAACACGTGGTTCAGCCATGACTGTTAAAAGAGAACTGCAATCACAGAGAGTGAAATTCTACAAGGTGAAAAATAGAGTAAGGTAGCGACTGAAATGGCCTCTCTGGATCCCTGTCCTGCATTCCACCCCCTCTCCTAGCCACAGGAGGGTCTGGAGCCTCCGCTAGTACACTGCGTGCTCTCCATCTCCATCCTCCAGCCTAGCAATTTTCAACTGGCATGCCACAACAATTTTTAAAACATGCAATACCTGACTATTTAGTCAGGGGCACTAGCCTCTTTTCCCTTAGATTGTCAAATAAAAAAAATGCCACTAGTCAACATAACAATAGCTGTCCGATGTGAATGAATCAAAATTATACCTTTTTTTTTATTAGATCAGCAAAAAGTATATATTTTTTTGGTATGCCACAGAATTTTAGTAATTAGTTTGTGTGTCATGAGATGACAAAGGTTGAAAATCTTTACCGCAAACACAGATCTGTCTTGTTGTTAGGCATTCATTTGCTCTTATGAGAGGTAGTTCAAAAGTACACTAAATTTATAGATTAAATTATCAGTAGACAGGTTATGTTTCTAGTCCAAAATTCTAGAAGTACTTAATCATAATTAACAATCATGTTTTCTTTCTTCTACTTGAATTCTTTATGCTAGAAAAGTTAATCTCAACCAGCTATGCAAATAATTTGGGGGCAAAAAAGGGTTTATGTTTTACTAACATGTTCTCCAGCTTCATATCAAGTACATAATAAACAAAAGCTAAAATAACATGTACCAACCTAATTCTAACATAATTTCTAAGACTATTACAATGTTATTCAGAAAACACTTCATGTGAATTTTAATTTCAAGCCAAATAATTATGATTTTTGAATTTATGAAATAGCTCCACTAAGTTTAAATTTCTTTCATGTGAAAGAATGCCTGCTGGTAACTTCCATTTTTTTTTTTTCTTTCAACTTGACCTCTACTGCAAATGTGGGTTACTTTACATATTCATTCTTTTTCCTAATTTTTATCATATTTTAATCTTTATGACTCTTAACAACATTAATTTTCTTTACACTCTTTTACCTTCATTTTGCTAGTATAGAATTTCTTTTTCAAGACTGCATTGTTAGTCTAGGTAATTACAAAAATTATCACACTATAAGACACAATTATGTGTCCTTGAGGATTTATGACTTATAAGCCCATTTCTCCCATCTGCTTTTTACAATAGTAGTTAAAAAAAAAATTTAAGACAATGCAAAACATAGGTTGATGTTATCTAGAGTAAAAGATATAAGACAGAGAACAAATAGTTCTCATTAGTTGGCAAGATCCTGTGTTTTATTCGTCTGTAGTATGTAAAACTTAATTTTCATTAATATAGGATAATCATGTTTGATATTATTGTGTGTATTTACATAATGAATGCCAGAGTCACCATGTGCGCAGAAATAACATCTCGTGTGTTTACAGTAATTGCACAGTTGAGATAGCCTATGAACCAGAATATGCTGATTTGGTTGGCAGGAAACCAGGATGAATCAAATGGACCACCATGTTGTCTCGGACAGAAACCTCAAATGTCCCCTCTTGCCACAAAGTGATTATGCAATAAGCTTCAAGTCACTAAAAGCCAGAACACTAGTGGAAAGCAGTTACTTGGCTAAGCCTGAAGCCCTACGACACATTTCTGAACTACTGGTGCTTGAATTAACGTCTAAATCTAATGATTGCCACAATCAGATTAAAAAATAAATACAAACTATGTACCACATATCCTGAACATTTATTAAAAAAATAGATTTCAAAATTGAGAGGAAAATATTTAAAACTTTAGCAATTTTAACTTTAATTAATATGGTAATATTATTTTCAAATATATTTTCTAAGCCTCTGAAGTAGATAGGTAGTGAGGAAAGAAATTCAGTAAGAAAAACTTGGCTCTGAAGGGCTCACTAAAAATCACATTAATATAGCAAACGTTTTAGTCTGGAGAGATGTGATCCACTCCAACATTCTATAAACTTACCTGCTTTAAAAGTTGATATTTTAGCATTATAAGCTTTAGAAAAGAATCCCGAACTCCATAACCTTACTGAATGTTTACTTTCTCATGCCGCTTCTACATAGGAAATGATTTAACATAACCTAAAGCAGTGGTCGGCAAACTCATTAGTCAACAGAGCCAAATAACAGTACAATGATTAAAATTTCTTTTGAGAGCCAAATTTTTTAAACTTAAACTATATAGGCAGGTACATTGTTATTAACTTAATTAGGGTACTCCTAAACTGGCCTTTGCTAAAAACGTCCTCAATCTGATTGAGGTACGTTCGCTGAGGTCGACCCCTTCCAACTCTCCCATCTACACTCGTCTGGTATACTTGTTTCGTCTATCTTTTGTCACCCGCGCACGATGTGCTGACCAACTAGCACTAACCACTGCACGAGACTGCTGACTGACTGGCTCACTCAACTCCTGCATGAATCATCCAGGCCTCCCCCGCTGCGTATCCCACGGCCCGCCTGCGCTGGGGCCTGTGCCGCGTCTCCCATCGCCCGACTGACGGACACCCCCCACTTCTTCTAACGCCACTTCCTCAAAATAGACCCGCCCAGGCTGAAAACCGACTTCTGTGCATGGGCCACGAAGTTTCAATCCCACTGTACGTGCGCGCCAGCGGTATTTTGTGGAAGAGCCACACTCAAGGGGCTAAAGAGCCGCATGTGGCTTGTGAGCCACGGTTTGCCGACCACTGACCTAAAGCTTCTTCAGCAAGTAAGCTTTGTGCGCTCACTCCTCCCCAACATCTAAGTACAGAAGAAAAAATTTTAAATTTAAGTTACAGTCTAATTACAGGCAGTTTTTGAAGTTAAAATGGCTACTTTAACATTTCTGAATTTAAAACATAATATCTTATTTTAGTGTTTTCAACTATATTAAAATTTATTTCAAGATTTGTTAAACCAGAGAGTGGAAAACCAGAGCATGAACAACATGGCAAGAAGTTCCAAAAAGCTAGGTCTGGCCACAATGCAGAATATTCTATGGAAAAGAATTAAAATGGACAAAGAGACCCAAAGAAGCCCCAACCCTCCTCCATTCCCTGTAATAGGCCAACAAAAATCAAAGAAGTACCTCAAATAGAAAGGTGACAGAGGTCTTTCATCCTCCTGTGAACTAAAAGAAAATAAAATGTGAATTAATATAATTTCTATTAATATTATATCGATTTTACTTAAAACTCTGTCCTACCTGTCACAAATTTTGTTTTGACGCCTTAGAGCAGGGGTGGGGAACGTACAGCCCACAAGCTGTATAAGGCCCGCAAAATCATTTGGTCTGGTGAGTTCATTAAATGTTTGACCAAATATAACAGGCCAATTATTAAGTTTATAATTCTGTATGGCCCTCGAATGATGTTATAAATATCCCAATGGCCCTTCGCAGAAAAAAGATTCCCCACCCCTGCATTAGAGCTAAACTCACGATGCAGTAAGGTCAGTAAAAGACACTCTACCTTGGACCTAACCAAAGTCAATTACTTCTTCACGGGAGACCATCAAGGGAGGTTTCTTTCAAAATTAGCTGAAGGCAAAAATAATTCACATGGTACTTTCAAGAGGAAGATAAGCCAGTCAGAGAAAGATAAATATCATATCATCTCACTCTTTGTGGAATATAATGTACAACATAAACTAATGAACAAAAACAGAACTAGAGTCATAGAAGCATCCAATAGACTGTCCAACCTATTAGGGAAGGCAGGGGAGGGGGAGGATAAGAGATCAACCAAAGGGCTTGCATGCATGCATATAAGCATAACCAAGGGACACGGAGGGGGGGCGGGGGGTGGTTGGGGAGAGGTCAATGGGGGAAAAAGGAGACTTATGTAATACTTTAAACAATAAAGAACTTAAAAAAAGAGGAAGCTTTTTATTATCTTACTAGAGGCCTGGTGTCCGAAATTTGTGGACAATCCTGGACTGCTGGCTCCTAATTGCTCACATGCCTGCCTGCCTGCCCCCCTCTGCCAACCTGGTCACCCCTCATGCCCCGCCCCCGCCCACCTGGTCGCCCCATGAAGCCT